CATCCGAAATCACCCCGAGGCCCCCGGGACCTCAACCAAAAGCACCAACACATCCTATAACATCATTCAAACTTGTTCCAATCATAAAAACACCTCAAACAACACTAAAACCATCATTTCTCATCGAATTCAAGCCTAAGTTTTTCAAAAACTTCCGAAATACGCATTCGATCAGAAACCTAACCAAAACACCTCCGAATGACCTGAAATTTTGCACACACATCCAAAATCACCTAACAAAGCTACTGCGACTCTCGGAATCTCATTCCGACCCCCGGATCAAAATCTCACCTACCAACCAGAACTTCGACCAAAATACTAACTTCGCCAATTCAAGCCTAATTTACACCGAACCTCCAAAATCAATTCCGATCGCACTCCTAAGTCACAAATCATCCCCCCGAAGTTAACCAAATCATCGGAATTCAAATCCGAGCCCTCTAACTCAATAGTCAACATCCGGTTGACTTTTCCATTACAAGCCTTACCTTAAAGAGACTAAATGTCTCATTTTCTACCAAAACCAAACCGATTCGACTCTAACTTACCAAATGCCGATAATGAAACATGAAGAAGCAATAAAATGGGTAAACGGGTCGGAGGTACAACGACTACGACGACGGAAGGGTTCCGGAAACACGCATTCGATCAAAAACCCAACCAAAACACCTCCGAATAACCTGAAATTTTGCACACACATCCAAAATCACCTAACGAAGCTACTGCAACTCTCGGAATCTCATTCCGACCCTCGGATCAATATCTCACCTATCCGCCGGAATTCGCCAAAATACTAACTTCGCCAATTCAAACCTAATTCTAAACCGGTCCTCCAAAATTACTTCCGATCACACTCCTAAGTCACAAATCATCCCCCGAAGCTAACCGAATCGTCGGAATCTACATCCGAGCCCTCTAACTCACAGGTCAACATCCGGTTGACTTTTCCAAAACAAGCCTTCCTTAAAGAGACTAAGTGTCTCATTTCTTATCAAAACCATTCCAAACTAACTCTAACACATCAAATACTGATAATGAAATATGAAGGAGCATAACATGGGGGAAACGGGACGGTAACTCACGTGACGACGGGTCGGATCGTCACAATATCACATTATCTTTACACTCAAATTTAGCACATTAACAGAATTAGAACAATCTTTTGCTATTTTGCACCATAAAGAAAATTCATCATTATCAAGGCAATGTTAATTCATAGGGCTCATTTTCCATAGTTTTTGAGAATCAGGACATGTAAAAACATATGTTCGACACTTTCCCTGTCTAAACCACATCTTTTACACACACTACTAACATGATTCATTCTTTTACTAATTAGATTATTAATGGATACATTATTAAGCACTCATCTTCTAACGAAAAGTTTTTGTTTATTTTTGATTCCTCATTGCTCACAAAAAATGCCAAAATGCTTAGGAAAAGCGTGGCTGCTAGATTATGCAAGGTTACCACAATTATCACCGTGGTTTGCTTAAGCTTTTTGCAACATGATTGTTTTGGGTCAAATTTAGAATTTACGGGTGGATAACTCTTGAGCAGACACACGACAATGACAGGATGGAGGTGAGTCAACAGATTGTTAATATCGGATAGAGATATGTGACTGGTATTGAGCGAATTTCGAGGACACAAAGATCGGGAAAGAGAATTTATAAGCAAGGTACCGATTGGAGAAAAAAGCATTAAAGGAGCAGCCGTTTCGGAAAATCTCAGCATTTATTCCCAATGTTATGCAACCATCAAATCAGGTTTTTATTCATCTTTTCACTATAAATAATAACTTGTGTACTCATTGTAAGGGCACAAAATACAAGAATCACAAAGACTATCTTTGTTTCTCTTATTTTCTTAAGTTTTATACAAGGCTATTATCAAAGCTTTCCAGTTAATTACCCTTGATTCTGATAGGATCAATATGAATTTTAGGCTTGTTGTTTACTAAATGATCTTTTTTATTTTTTATTTTTTATTCTTTGTTATTTTACTAATCAGATCATCTTAATCCACATGTCTATAATCATGTGTCTATACAAACTCAATTGCACTTTTTTACGGATAAACAATAATGACCGGATTTAACCTCGTAAGTGTAAACTTTGTAAAATGTCAATCAATTTATCCATAGATCCCCTAGTAGATAATTAAGGAATGGTCAAAACAGCTTTTGTATCATCCAAAAAAGAACACCTAGGTAATTCCTCTAAAAAAAAAAATTGTGCAAATCTACGTGTGGGGATTCAGTCCAGTATTCTTTGGTCCAGTTTTCCTTAATAGACTTGTGTAATTACTCTTGATTCCAGTGGGATCAATCTGAATTTTAGGGTTGTTGTTTACTAAATTATCTTTATTTTTTTTTATTCTTTGTTCTTTACTAATCAGATCATCTTAATCCACGTGTCTATAAATTACGTGTACAAATTCAATTGTACCTTTTTACGGTAAACAATATGGCCGGACTTAACCTCGTAAGTGTAGACTTTGTAAAATGTCAATCAAAACAGCTTTTATATCATCCCAAAAAAAAAACATCTAGTTAATTCCTATAACAAAATTCCACTAAAGACCCGCGACATTATGAATGCATGGATTTTTCCAAACACAAACATTTTAACCATTGGCAACTCTTCATCATAAAAGAGGATACTGTAGAAAGAGTTATCTGGAAAATATTTACTGTTCAAGATTCTTGACAGAATTAATTAACGTTGATTTTAGAGAGAGAAAATTTGTAAAAGGAGCAAATGAATATTTTCCTCTTATTATGATTGTGTAACCGTCACTACAAAGGTGAAAATGAATATATATATAGCTGACTAACTAACTTCCTAATACATGTACATAATTACCCCTATTCTAGAAAATACTAGAACCTACTATTATATTATGTACAAAAGATAACAAAAGAGAAAAGGCTGCTGAAGGCCCAATATGCTAATAAGCCCAATAACCAGCTGTAGCCCAATAGTGCCTTATAATGAACCCTTATCTTTAGTATTATCCAGAAACCCTATCTTCAGTAGTAGCTTCATCGACAACACCCCCTCTCAAGTTGGAGGGGGCGGAAAGCACGCCCAACTTGCCCAGTAAACTGCGATGGAGAGGCCCAGAGAGGGGCTTGGTAAACAAGCCGGCGATTTGATGATGGGAAGGAAGAAAGGAAAGAGAGATAAGCCCCGCTTGGAACTGCTGCCTAACAAAATGGCAATCAAGTTCCACATGTTTGGTACGCTCATGGAAAACGGGGTTTTTGGCGATGTGGATGGCGGCTTGACTATCAGAATGAAGAGGCACAGGCAAAGAAGGGAGAACGGAAAGATCATCAAGCAAACGCACGAGCCAGGTGAGTTCAGCAACGACTCGCCGCATGGACCGGTACTCAGCTTCAGCAGAAGATAAAGAGACGGAGGGTTGTTTCTTGGACTTCCAAGAAACAGGACAACTGCCAAGACTAATGAAAAACCCACTGACAGAACGACGACTATCAGGACAAGAACCCCAATCGGAGTCGCAAAAAGCAAGCAAATCAAGAGAAGGATCTGCGCTCATGAAAACGCCTAGACTAGGGTCACGAAGGAGATAACGAAGGCAGTGATGAGCAGCAGAGAAATGAGGCACGCGAGGGTCTTGCATGAATTGACTAAGGTGCTGGACGGCAAAAGAAATATCAGGACGGGTGTGAGTCAAGAAATTAAGTTTGCCTAAAAGACGATGATAGAGTAGAGGATCAGGAAGAGGAGCCCCAACACTAGAACGACGTTTAGAAGAAGGGTCCAAAGGAGAAGAAGCAGGAGACAAACCAAGACAGTCAAATTCAGTGAGAAGATCAAGAGTGAATTTGCGTTGGCAAAGGATCAGACCAGATGGCTCACGAAGCACCTCCATACCCAAAAAATAAGATAAGGTCCCCAAATCTTTAATCTTGAATTCATGATCTAAGAACTGTTTCAAATCATTCAATTCCTGAACATTGTTGCCTGTAAGTAAAATGTCGTCCACGTAAACTGCCACTAGAGAAACAGAATCACCAGTTTTCTTGTAAAAAAGAGAATAATCGTTAAGGGAGTGAGTAAAACCCTTGAAATTAAGAGCGGCAGTTAAACGAGCGTACCACTGCCTAGAGGCTTGGCGAAGACCATATAGAGATTTCTTGAGTCGACAAACTAGGTTAGGAGAAGGAGAATCTAAACCTGCTGGAAATTTCATATAAACCTCCTCATGTAAATACCCATGTAAAAAGGCGTTATTTACATC